CTAGTTTCACACAGTGCTGAGTGCTCACTCCTAGTTTCACACAGTGCTGAGTGCTCACTCCTAACTTCACACAGTGCTGAGTGCTCACACCCAGCGTTACACAGTGCTTAATGCTCGCACCTAGCTTCACACAGTGCTAAGGGCTCACAGCTAGCTTCACACAGTGCTGAGTGCACACACCTAGCTTCACACAGTGCTAAGGGCTCACAGCTAGCTTCACACAGTGCTGAGTGCACACACCTAGCTTCACACAGTGCTGAGTGCTCACTCCTAGCTTCACACAGTGCTGAGTGCTCACTCCTAGCTTCACACAGTGCTGAGTGCACACACCTAGCTTCACACAGCGCTGAGTGCTCACTCCTAGCTTCACACAGTGCTGAGTGCTCACTCCTAGCTTCACACAGAGCTGAGTGCTCACTCCTAGCTTCACACAGTGCTGAGTGCTCACACCTAGCTTCACACAGTGCTGAGTGCTCACACCTAGCTTCACACAACGCTGAGTGCTCACTCCTAGCTTCACACAGCGCTGAGTGCTCACTCCTAGCTTCACACAGCGCTGAGTGCTCACTCCTAGCTTCACACAGCGCTGAGTGCTCACACCTAGTGCTCACACCTAGCTTCACACAGCGCTGAGTGCTCACACCTAGCTTCACACAGCGCTGAGTGCTCACTCCTAGCTTCACACAGTGCTGAGTGCTCACAGCTAGCTTCACACAGTGCTGAGTGCTCACTCCTAGCTTCACACAGTGCTGAGTGCTCACACCTAGCTTCACACAGTGCTGAGTGCTCACACCTAGCTTCACACAGTGCTGTGTGCTCACACCTAGCTTCACACAGTGCTGTGTGCTCACTCCGAGCTTCACACAGTGCTGAGTGCTCACTCCTAGCTTCACACAATCCTGAGTGCTCACATCTAGCTTCACACAGTGCTGAGTGCTCACTCCTAGCTTCACACAGCGCTGAGTGCTCATACCTAGCTTCACACAGTGCTGAGTGCTCACTCCTAGCTTCACACAGTGCTGAGTGCTCACACCTAGCTTCACACAGTGCTGAGTGCTCACACCTAGCTTCACACAGCGCTGAGTGCTCACTCCTAGCTTTCACACAGTGCTGAGTGCTCACTCCTAGCTTCACACAATCCTGAGTGCTCACATCTAGCTTCACACAGTGCTGAGTGCTCACTCCTAGCTTCACACAGCGCTGAGTGCTCACACCTAGCTTCACACAGTGCTGAGTGCTCACTCCTAGCTTCACACAGCGCTGAGTGCTCACACCTAGCTTCACACAGTGCTGAGTGCTCACATCTAGCTTCACACAATGCTGAGTACTCACTCCTAGCTTCACACAATGCTGAGCGCTCACTCCTAGCTTCACACAGTGCTGAGTGCTCACACCTAGCTTCACACAGCGCTGAGTGCTCACTCCTAGCTTCACACAATGCTGAGTGCTCACTCCTAGCTTCACACAGTGCTGAGTGCTCACACCTAGCTTCACACAGTGCTGTGTGCTCACTCCTAGCTTCACACAGTGCTGAGTGCTCACTCCTAGCTTCACACAATCCTGAGTGCTCACATCTAGCTTCACACAGTGATAAGTGCTCACTCCTAGCCAGGGGCGGACTGAGAACCCTCAGGGCCCCCGGGCAAAATAAATCAAGGGCCCCCTTACAGGGCCCACCCATACTCTGCAGCAAGCGCCTCCATGCACCGCCTCCAGCCACACCCTACACAATCTTTAGACACAAGGAACAAAAGGGCAATAAGCCCTTCGAGGCCCGAGTAGAGACTACAATTGAGGGCTAATGGGCCATGGAGAGGGGTCTTTCTAGCGGAGGCTATCTCAGTGTCCTTTAGAGAGTGTGTTAGATAGAATCCCCTCCAAGCCCCATTAGAGACTACAATGGAGTCTAAAAGGCTTGGAAAGGGGTCTTTCTAACAGAGGCCATCTCAGCGTCCATTAGATATCCCCTGCTGGAAACAGTCGCCTCCAGGCCCCAGTAGAAACTACAATTGAGGGCTAATGGGCCATGGAGGAGATTTCTAGCAGAGGCTAGAGTCTAATGGGGCCTGGAGGGTGGTCTCTCCAACACTCTGGTTCCTATTCACAATATAGCAACACAACATAGCTCGCTGATACCTAAGCCAAGTTGGCTCCTCTTACCTTAATTACTGTTGCTGGCTGGCAGTCTGTGGGCTTGCTGGCTACGGCTGGCAGGCTGTGGGCTTGCTGGCTACTGCCGGCAGGCTGTGGGCTTGCTGACTGCGGCTGGCAGGCTATGGCTTGCTGGCTGTAAGCCTGTGGCTTGCTGTAGGCCTGTGGGCTGGCTACTGGCCTGTGGGCTGGCTAACTGGCTGGCTACTGGCCAGCCTGTGGGTTGGCTGGCTGGCTACTGGGCACTTGTAGATTATTTAAATAAATAATCCATGCACAATAACCACTACTGCTCCAGAGTAAGTAGTCAAACCATTTAAGAACAGTTTGACAACTTACCTGGGATCTGCTGGGATATGGGGCTGTAGTAGGGAATAGGAGCAGTGGTGCAATGTGTGTGAAAGGTTCAGTGTGTGTGTGGGGGTGTAGTGTGTGAATGTGTAGGGTGTGTGGGCAATGTATGTGTGTGGCAATGTTAGTATGGGGGGCTGTGTATGGGGGTCTGTGTATGTGTTTGTGTGAGGCAATGTGTGTAAATGTGTATGGTGTGTATGGGGGCAGTGTGTGAATGTGTATGGTGTGTGTGTGGGAGCAGTGTGTTTATGGGGCTAGAGTTCACTCTCACCACTGCGACCACCAGGAATCCATGGGGGTTACAGTGTTGAGAGTGAACTCTAGCCCATAGCTCCAGGGCTAGAGTTGACTCTCGCAAGAGCAGTAACGTTGCCATGGTAACCGCGGCAACGCTCTGTGCTCGCGCAAGAAGGACCCAGAGGAGCTGCAGGGTGAGCTCCCAGGTCCTCTCTTCCTCCCCTGCCCGCACGGTGCCTGCGGACAGGGGAGGGGGGGCATTCTTCCCTCTCTTTCTCCCCAACTCTCTATTCCTCCTCTTTCTCCCCGTGTCTCATTCTTCCCTCTCTGTCTCTTTCTCCCCCTCCCTCTATTCCCCCTCTTTCTACCCGTGTCTCATTCTTCCCTCTCTGTCTCCCCCCTCCCCATCTCTCTATTCCCCCTGTGTCTCATTCTTCCCTCTCTGTCTCTTTCTCCCCCTCCCCATCTCTCTATTCCCCCTCTTTCTCCCCGTGTCTCATTCTTCCCTCTCTGTCTCTGTCTCCCCCTGTGTCTCATTCTTCCCTCTCTTTCTCCCCATCTCTTTATTGCCCCCCCTTCCCCATCTCTCTATTGCCCCATCTTTCTCCCCCCTCCCCATCTCTCTATTCCCCCATCTTTCTCCCC